GGGATGTGTGTGAGGAAAGATCTATATTTCATCTGTGTTCTAGTGACAAAAGTGTCACATGAGATCAGCACCTCATTGGGTATTGTATTATAAAAGTAGTAAGAACATGTCTGCCCTGAGAGCTCACATCTCAAAAGACAAGATGAACTAGGAGGGTAATGAACTAGGAGGGTAGTTCGAACTAGGAGGGTAATGTAGGCATACCGCACTTGCAAATGAAGCCCGGGATTTGAATTTCCCGGGCTTCATTTGCATAAAGCCGGCCGGCGCCATGTTTAAATGCCGGCTAGTTCGGACCCCGTGCCGTGCGGCTACACGCGGCACGGACTAGCTAGTTCGGATTAGGCTTCCTATCCGAACTAGCTGTACGCCTCGTGGAATGAGGTGTACAGCTAGTTCCCATAATAGAAGAACTAGAGGACACCAAATGAAATTAATGGGTAGCAGGCTTCAAACTAATAAGCAAAAGTTCTTCTTCACACAGCGAGTAGTCAACCCATGGAACTCCTTGCCAGAGGAGTCTGTCAAGGCTAGGACTATAATAGAGTTTAAAGAGAAGCTAGATAATTTCATGGAGGTTAGGTCCATAAAAGGCTATTAGCCAGGGGATAGAAATGGTGTCCCTGGCTTCTGTGGGTATGTCTACACTACCCCGCTAGTTCGAACTAGCGGGGTAGTGTAGACATACCCAAAGAGTGGCAGAGAAAACAGAGGTGAAATGACTTGCTGAAATTTAAACATGGAGTCACTTTGTAGAGCTGGGAATAAAACCCATGTCCCCTGATTCCCAGTTCAGTACCCTATCCACTAGTATATAATGCCTCCTTAGTAGTAATTATTCTTTGAGAGATGACCCCATGAGTGCTCCACATTAGGTTAGTATATTGCCGCTTAGCCTTAGATTGGAGATTTCAGAGCAGTGTCCTTGGGGCCACACATGCACTTGTCTGCAGCCACATGCTGTTAGGTACCAGGCATTGTGCATGCACGAGCCCCCACCTCCTCCCTCCACCCTCTGTTTCTCAGTTCCTTCTCTACCACCTCCAGCTACAGACGGACCTCAGCAGTGCTCCCAAGCCTCTTCATGTCTAGATACTTATCCCCTTTCAAAACCAAGTTGTTCTCTCCCCAGTTAATTAGTGGTGTTAAATATCCTAATCTTTTTTTTTTTAAAGATTGAGATCATTTTTTCCTCCCAGTTAACCCCTTCCTGCAGTAAACCGCGTGGAACCAAAAGTGTACCAAAAAGAGAGCCGCCTCCTTTACCACGGGGGCACCAGCACTGAAAAGGCCTCCCCCTCATGGACAGTGCTGAGAACAGCAGTGGTACCGCGCCTTGGCACTTATGACACTCTGGGCATCTGAGGAGCTGACAGCGCAGCTAACAGAGACGTGCTAAACCACCCTCTGAGGCATCAGGCTTCAAGTTGCCTGCCGCAGCACCTGGTACTGGTACAACTTTGCTGGCACAGCATAAGAGCACAGAACCTTCCATGTTATCAGGCGCCTCCTCCTCCACTACAGAGATGCCTAACATGGTATCAGTCAGCTCAGCACTGAGGCATGAATCAACACCTCAGATAGTGTCCTTGCGTTCCACTGTGGCGCTGTCAACACCAGCTGAGCACTACAGTTAACACAGACTTATTAGTCTTATCTACCTTTAACTCACCATTTTTAGACACAGATTGCTCTCTTGCTACGTTAACATCACAGAGAGAATTTTCTCAGGAAAGATTTTCATCTGAATCTGAAGATGCGCTTTCTAGGGGGTTTTCCTCCAGAAAATTCTCTTTACACAGATCAGACTGTTTACTCTTCCAGATCTTACCATAAATTTTGGAATGTTCCTCCATATTATGGCAGTCCCTGGGTACCTCCACCCATGTAATACCCCTGTTGGTAATACAAATGGTCATCTTATCAAAAACAGCAACATGGCTGGAAATGACACAGAGTGCAATATTCCCCTTCTAAACAAATACATGAAGGGAATTCATCATACAATAGGAGAGTGCATTCCTGGACTCAAACAAATCCACCCCAGTGGAGGGTGCTTCTAGCTCCAGCTACCTCCTTTCCAAGACCTTTTTGAATGCGTAGTTGCTGAACTAAACATTCCTCTCCTAGAGGTTGTCGAGAATCAGCATGAACTAACTGACACATTGCACTTGGTAGCATCATCTAAAATAACATTGCTGATTAATCCAGCAATAATGGAACCGGATAAAATGGTGTGACAAACTCTGGCATCAGTCTCATCTGCTTACCTTCCATCCGAAGGATCTGAATTTTTCTTTACTTGCCCAGTACCTAACTCCCTCGTGGTGGTGGCTGCATAAGAGAAAACCAGTCAGCAACAATTTCGGTCCACCTCCTCAGACCGTAATGGCGAAAGACTTGACTCATTTGGACGCAAAATGTACACATCTTACAGTTTATAATTTCACATTCCTAACTCTGCAGATTTATTAGGCAAATATGACTACAGGAATTACACCAATCTTAACAACTTTGTTGCTGATATTCCCGAGGCTAAAAGACAACAGTTCAAAGCATTGGTATCAAGGGTCACACGATTGCCAGAACAGCATTGCAAGCTGTGTTAGACACTGCTGCACGAACCACAGCAACAGTAGTAGTCATGAGAAGGGTTTCATGATTTAACTCCACTCTGTTCCCCAGAGAGATACAAGCTAAAGTAGAAGATGTTTGCAGCTAATACCAACAAAATTCTCCATTCCATGAAGGATTCCAGAGTAACACTTTGTTCCTTAGGAATGCATAAACAGGCCCCTAGAAGAAGACAGTGTAGGTATCAACCCTATCTGAGACCTCGATACCCTCCATATGCTCAGCATTACTGCAGACAAGACCAGCACCAACAGAATAGCGGCAGAGTTCAACGATGATGCCCTTCCTTTACCAACTCGCAACAGTCCAATAAGCAAATTTGAACATCAGGTCGAAGGTCATGAGAACCTGTCATCTATTCCAACACCATAGTCACAAGTGAACATGTTCCATCACCTACTGCTACCCTTCTTTATCAACTGGCAATATTACCTCTGACAGCCTTTCGATTATCTGGAGGACTCAGTTATTCCCTTATTGTCTCTATCCCCCTTCCCACTCCCACTTCAAGGACCACTCTCTCAAGGTTCTACTTCAACGAGAGGTAGAACACCTCTTGTATGTAGGTGCAATTAAACCGGCCTCCACACAATTTAGGGGCAAAGGTTTTACTCCCATTACTTCCTGATGGAAGAAAGATCGGGAGGGTGGAGACCTATCTTAGACCTCCGAGCACTCAATAAAGTTGTTCAAAAACAAATATTCAAGATGGTAACACTTGCTGCTATTTAACTGGCATTGGAACAGGACAATTGATTCTAGTCCTTCAACTTTCAAGATGCATACTTTCACATTTCCATCCACCCTGCTCACAGACGTTTTCTTCATTTCATTGTAGATTCCCAACTCTGCCAGTACAAGGTGCTTCCATTCAGACTCTCTACAGCTCTGAGGGTCTTCTCAAAGATTCTGGTGGTGGTTACAGCATATATGAAAAAGCAAAGCATCATAATTTTTCCTTACCTGGACGATTGCTTCCTCAGAGCTCACTCACACAACGATTCCTGCCATTTACTTTGTCACAAGACATCTATTCCAACACCTTGGCTTCCAAGTGATCAAAGCCAAAGCAAGACACTTCTACACAAAAGATACAACTTATAGGAGCATGCCTCGACTCAACAAGGGCCCTCACATCCTTCCCTACGGACTGTTTTCAAAAAATTGTGGCCTCTGTGAACACCTTACGATCCAGCCCCTGCACGACGGCACTCAAATGCCTTCAGCTGTTGGGACACATGGCAGAGTGCAATTTCATTGTTAGCAACACTCGTCTTCACATGAGATGCTTACAGGGCTGGCTGGGACAGGTTTACAGACCCATTATCCAAATCCCTAGTCCTCCCAATGGTAGTAAAGAAATCTCTGTGGTGGTTGAGTCCACAGAACCTTTGTTCCCGAGTCCCCTTCCACCCACCAGAACCATCTGTTTCCATGATGATACATGTGTCTCGTACAGGATGGGGTGCCCACCTACAACATCAGACCTCCCAAAGACTGTGGGACAGCAGCAACAAGAACCTACATATAAATGTCCTGGAACTCTGTGCAGTCAGGAATGCATGCGCCCCATTCCTCCCGTTCATCGCCAACAGTAATGTCAAACTGTACATAGACAATGTTGCAGCAGTGTTTTACACAAATCATCAGGGAGGAGCCTCATCTCAAGCACTTTGTACAGAGGCCATTGCACTTTGGATCTGGTGCCTGAAATACAACATAAACATTACTGTGGTGTACCTCTCTGGCATCCTGAACACAACGGCAGATGTACTCAGCAGAGCCCTCCTGACCAAACACGAGTGGCAGATGAATCCACACATATTGGCACACATCTTCCAGCAGTTGGGTCACTCCACCATAGATCTTAGTCACACAATTCAACAAGAAATGTCACCTATTCTGTTCCAGGGTGGGCATCGGCAAGGGATCAGTGGAGATGCC